AGCGAGGCAGCAGGATTGAGCCCTCCTTGGCTGCAGAGCTCGTCCCTGGGAGGAGCCGCTCCATTAATATCTCCCATTCATCCCTCTTCCCGTAATCCTGCCGCCGACTCTGGCGCTCAGCAGCTGGCTCTGATGTCACCCAGCGAGGATTTATTGCTGCTTCAGGTGGAGAGCAGCCGTTGGAGCAGATGAAATCTTATGCCAGGAGGAGCTTGTTCCCTGAGCAAATTGCTTGGAGAAAATCTGAGGAGACAGATGCAGCTCCATCAGATACACACATGCCAGGCGGTGGGATCGCGTGTCTGCTGGCTCCGCGTGCAGAGCAGGGAACCTGCTGCGGTTAACTCCCATCTCCCCGGTGTCCTGGCGGGCTCTGGCACACGGGCACTCAGATATTTCTGCACATCTTTGCTTTTATGGACCTGGGGCAGAGGTTGTACTGATGCTTCCCAGGTGTAACACCTTCTTCATGCCCTCCTGGGTCTCTGGGGTGGGCAGGGTGATGGGCAGACACCATCAGCTCAACCTTTCCGTAGCTATGGGTGTGAAAACTCCCATGAAGGTGCCAGGCTCTCCAGGAAGTAACTTACAGGGTTTTGGGGTGGCACGGCTGCCCTTTTGGCTCTCCTGGGCACTTGGAGGCAGTCACCTGGCCCTTCCTGCAGCACATCCATGCCACGGCTCCGCTCCTGTCTTCCCCTGCACCCTGGGGTGGGTGGGAGCATCCCGAAGGATGAGGTAGAGCCACACGCGTGCGCGCGCACACACGTACATATGTGTGTGCTGTCCCCAGGAGTGACCCCAGCCTTGGGGAAGGGATCTCCACGTACCTGCTGTCTCCAAACCACTGCCAGCTGCAATGCCTCAGGCTGCCCCAGTGCTCTTGTCGATCCTTCCTTCCTGCCACCCTCTGCATGGTCCTGCCACCCAAAAAGCTGCGTCCCCCAACTCCGGACAGCCCCTTTCCGTGCAGGGCTGTGGCTGGGAGAAACAGCAAGTCCCAGCCTTGTTCCTCTTTTGGCCGGTCACATCCCTGCAGGCCTGGACTGGGACGCTGCCCCATCCCAGCAGACTTGGCTCCGGCCCCCCCAGCAGCCTCCCTGTCCCAGAGAAATCCACGTTCCCCATCTGGGGGTAATTAAGAGGCATGTTGCAACTCCCACAGTGGGTTCCTGCTCCCGCTCATGCCTCGAGGCCTGTTGATGTGTTGTGGGAGCTGCCAAACCTGTTCCGGCCATTCGGCCGCCCAGGCACCCGCCGGGACTGCGGCCGGTGTGGTGTGGGGTTGCTGCAAAGGCTCACGTGCTCTCAGCTGCCCTTTTTGTGTCTCTCCTTGCAGGAAAGAACCTCTACACGAACGAATACGTAGCTATCAAATTGGTGAGTCCCTCCGTGGTCAGGGCTGATGTTCGGGCTACCTGGGAAGGAGGTGGGTCACCCGCCCCGGGTTGTTGGAGCGGGTGGAGCGGGGGGGGGTGGGATGGGCGATGGAGAGGTGGGTGCGCAGGGAGCTGCGCTCGCAGCCAGGAATTGAGGGCAGGCAGAGAAATGCACGTCACTGCAGGTGGGGTGATCCAGGCCCGGGGAGAGAAGAGCTGGGTCTTTGCTTCTCCAGGGCCTCCCTGGGCCTGTGCTGCACTCAGCTGGTGGCAGCAGCAGAGAACCCTCCGGGAGAGGATGGTCCCCGCTGATACCTGCTCCCATTAACATCCACTCCAGCACCCAGATCTCTCTAGAGGGGGTGGATCTGGCTCCCATATGGGCTGGTTTTCTCTCATCATCCCCTGAGGCTTCATCTCCATTTTATACTGTTTTTTCTCGACCCCAAGTGCTCTCAGTCCAGCTGCTGCCAGCACACAAAGGAGGTGTCTGACACCCAGACTTCCCTGACATTCTGCTCCCCACCACAGCTTTAACCGTTCTCCTTCTCTCCTGCAAGGAACCCATAAAATCCCGGGCCCCCCAGCTGCACCTGGAGTATCGGTTCTACAAACAGCTCGGCAATGCAGGTACGGGGCTGGGCTGGCTGCCGCGGGAAGTCGGATACGGCCGGG